AAATCCACGCCTGTTGTAGATCATGAAAAATAGTTTTTAAAAAATCCACTTTGGTGCACCATTTACCTTAATTCGGACGAAAATATATAAGGGAGCTATATCAAAATCTGAACCGATTTTCACGAAATTTATCACACATCATTCTAGGCTCTGGCCAGAAAAAATATTTAAAAAACCCACGTCTTTTGTATGTGGCAAAAATGGATTTTTAAAAAAATCCACTTTTTTTTGAAGGTGCCTTGATTTTTTGCTCTGTGTATTACTGATACGGTCTAGTGTACCACTCCATTATAAGGCCACTTTTGTTGGCCAAATATTTCTATATTCTGATGCTAGTAGATCCACATTTCTCCACATTTTTTCCAAGTAGTTAGGTTGGTATGTGTGTGTGTGTTCATACGTATAAAAAAGTTTCACATCTGTGTTCGCCTTTGGGGAGAACTATTTCAGTGCGCGAAATGTCATTTATTATCGTTTGGTTTGTTGCAGGACAACAGCAACAACAAGAACGAACAACAACCAGACGTTTCCTTTCACTTATAGAGATACATCTCTATTTCGCATTTCGGCATGTGGCAACATCCTAACCATCATCATCATCTCCATCAGTAGCAACATTCGAAACTCATCCCTTCCGGAAGCAATGCACATTGATGATCGTTTAGGGTTTGTTAGTTGTTGTTGCTGTTACATTTTTTCCGAGCACGCGAGGAAAACATTTGTCAATGCGGAACATGAGTTAGTGCTAATACACTGCAGTCCCGCATTGTGTGTGTGCCCGGGATGGCGATGATGTCTGCATAGTTTAGTGGGTGGGTGTTGGTGTGGTGGTCAGGGTGTTGAAGGATGAATTAAATGGTTCCCATGGCCCACTCCACATTTTTTTTGAATGTAGGAAAAAAGTAGCCTTCACATGGGACATATGGCAGTGGTCATTGTGTTTGATAAATCTGCTAAGTAGTTGCACGAACAAGAAATATGTACACAATAAAAAGAAAAATAAAATAAAAAAGTTCGAATAAGAAAAACAAAATATTTTTCTTTTAGATGGTGCAGCACCGCACACACACACTTGTGTCAATAACAGTCATGAAGAGGAAAAACTTTTACGGAGGTAGGGAATGTGGAAAGGGGAACACCTCGAAAATAATTAATTAAATAATCCACGCCTTAGATAGGCCTTAAAAAAAATATTCTTTAAAAAATCCACGCCTTAGATAGGCCTTAAAAAATATTCTTTAAAAATCCACGCCTTATATAGGCCTTAAAAAATATTCTTTAAAAATCCACGCCTTATATAGGCCTTGAAAAAATATTCTTTAAAAAATTCACGCCTCAGATAGGCCTTGAAAAAATATTCTTTAAAAAATTCACGCCTCAGATAGGCCTTGAAAAAATATTCTTTAAAAAATCCACGCCTCAGATAGGATTTGAAAAAATATTCTTTAAAAAATCCACGCCTTAGATAGGATTTGAAAAAATATTCTTTAAAAAATCCACGCCTTAGATAGGATTTGAAAAAATATTCTTTAAAAAATCCACGCCTTAGATAGGCCTTGAAAAAATATTCTTTAAAAATTCAAGCCTTAGATAGGCCTTGAAAAAATATTCTTTAAAAAATCCACGCCTTAGATAGGCCTTGAAAAAATATTCTTTAAAAAATCCACGCCTTAGATAGGCCTTGAAAAAATATTCTTTAAAAAATCCACGCCTTAGATAGGCCTTGAAAAAATATTCTTTAAAAAATCCACGCCTTAGATAGGCCTTGAAAAAATATTCTTTAAAAAATCCACGCCTTAGATAGGCCTTGAAAAAATATTCTTTAAAAAATCCACGCCTTAGATAGGCCTTGAAAAAATATTCTTTAAAAAATCCACGCCTTAGATAGGCCTTGAAAAAATATTCTTTAAAAAATCCACGCCTTAGATAGGCCTTGAAAAAATATTCTTTAAAAAATCCACGCCTTAGATAGGCCTTGAAAAAATATTCTTTAAAAAATCCACGCCTTAGATAGGCCTTGAAAAAATATTCTTTAAAAAATCCACGCCTTAGATAGGCCTTGAAAAAATATTCTTTAAAAAATCCACGCCTTAGATAGGCCTTGAAAAAATATTCTTTAAAAAATCCACGCCTTAGATAGGCCTTGAAAAAATATTCTTTAAAAAATCCACGCCTTAGATAGGCCTTGAAAAAATATTCTTTAAAAAATCCACGCCTTAGATAGGCCTTGAAAAAACATTCTTTAAAAAATCCACGCCTTAGATAGGCCTTGAAAAAATATTCTTTAAAAAATCCACGCCTTAGATAGGCCTTGAAAAAATATTCTTTAAAAAATCCACGCCTTAGATAGGCCTTGAAAAAATATTCTTTAAAAAATCCACGCCTTAGATAGGCCTTGAAAAAATATTCTTTAAAAAATCCACGCCTTAGATAGGCCTTGAAAAAATATTCTTTAAAAAATTCACGCCTTCGATAGGCCTTGAAAAAATATTCTTTAAAAAATTCACGCCTTCGATAGGCCTTGAAAATATATTTTTTAAAAAATCCACGCCTTAGATAGGCCTTGAAAAAATATTCTTTAAAAAATCCACGCCTTAGATAGGCCTTGAAAAAATATTCTTTAAAAAATCCACGCCTTAGATAGGCCTTGAAAAAATATTCTTTAAAAAATCCACGCCTTGTTATAGTCCTTGAAAAAAATTATTTAAAATTCCACGCTAAGTCAAGCTATTTTTAGAAACTTCAGCTTCTCCGTCATCCCTATCAGCTACGTGCAGTACGTACTGCAATTAAATTAATGTTTCTCTTATTTTTCTGAAAATTTACTTCTATTTATTTTTCTAATATCCACGTATCGTTTTCTTCATCTTCTAAGAACACATTTCGATTTTTTTCTCTTTATTTTCTTTTGTTTTGCAACAATTTTCATTCATTATTTCTTTCTGCTTCCATGTTTTGTTGCAGAAAATTAAAACGAAGTTGCAATTGTTGTTTGCTGCCCGGCTACGTGATGCTTCACAAAATTATACCCATAGTCGGAACTAGGGTCAGTTTATTTACTGTTAATGTTGCAACAGCAGAGAAGGAGGACGGTAATTGGAAAGGTAGGTTTTATTTACAAAAACATTTTGAAATGGCGCCCAACGTGAGGTGCCCTTGAAGCGATTCTTTTGAAGTGCCAAAATTTATAAAAAAAAATTTTAAAAATATATTTTTAATTTGTTTTATTTTGTGGACCACCCTATCAGCATTTAAGTACAACAAAAACTCAATTGCAGTAATATTAAATCCGGAAAACAAAAGTACTTCGAAGTGAAATAACGTGACTCTAAGTCACAAATGTTGCCGTGTTTTTATACCCTTCACCACACTGTGGTACAGGGTATTATGTCTTTGTGCATATGTTTGTAACAGGCAAAAGGAAACGAGATAGACACATGGTTCCTTTTGAGAATATGCATATAATCACTTTCTAAGTCGACTTACGCCCGTCCATGTATTTTTGTGAACATAGTACAGGTCGCATTAATGATCCGATTTGGATGAAATTTGGCATAGATCACTTATTTTGCCCAAGCACGAACCCTATTGAAAATGGGAAAAATCGGTTCAGATTTAGATATAGCTCCCATATATATTTTCGTCCGATTTTATGTAAATGGTGCACCAAAGTCTCTATATATCTTTCGATTTCGAAATTTTACACAGCTTAATGATATAGGTCTATAATAATGTGTGTTAAATTTCCCGAAAATCGTTTCAGATTTAGATATAGCTCCCATATATATTTTCGTCCGATTTAGGGTAAATGGTGCACCAAAGTCCCTATATATCTTTCGATTTGCACGAAATTTGGCACAGCGTACTGAAATAAGCCTTCAACGATGTGTGCTAAGTTTCTTGAAATTCGGTTCAGATTTATATATAGCTCCCATATATATTTTCGTCCGATTTAAGGTAAACGGTGTACCAAAATGCCTATATATCTTTCGATTTGCACGAAATGTGGCATAGCGTAATGAATTTGGTCAATAACGATGTGTGTTAAGTTTTCTGAGAATCGGTCCAGATGTGTGTTAAGCTCCCATATATATTTTTGTCCGATTTATGGTAAATGGTGTACCAAAGTCCCTATATATCTTTCGATTTGCACGAAATTTGGCATAGCGTACTGAATAAGGTTTAGAATGATGTGTGCTAAGTTTCGTGGAAATTGGTTCAGATTAGGTATAGCTTCTATATAATTTTTCTTCCGATTTTATGGACAAATTCTGCACTAAAGATCCAAAGGTTGTCCGATTGCCACACAATTTTGTACAATGAACTGTGGTTAATATAAATTAATCACTGGCAAGTCTCGCTGAAAACGGTTCAGATTTAGATATAGGTGCACCAAACTCCTCAGGTTTATTAGATATTTATCCAAATAGTCAACGAGTGTCCGATTGTTATTTGCTTAAAAATTGATGCAGAATGACATGTTTATGGATCCAATTTCATTTTACTGGCCCTTCAAAAATGCGTCGTCTGTTGGGATTTATCTGTTGAATATACCCAAAGTGGTGAAGGGTAGCATAATTTCGGCCATGTCCGACTTTACTACTTTCCTTACTGGTTTTTTAGTGAGTTATACATTTCATCTTATACATAATTTTTTTCATGGACCACAAGAAGCGTGGATTTTTAAAATATTTTTTTCAAGGACCACAAGAATCGTGGATTTTTTAATATTTTTTTAGTGGAGGATTGGATATTTGAAATAATTTGTTTGCCACACAATTACCTTTAATAGAATAATATCAATCGAATCTCTATTAAATATTTAATAAACACAGATTTAAATGACAAGCATTTAAAAATCAATTAAATATTTTTTTTCTAATGGATTATTTTTTGGTCGATTGCAAAAATGTTGAGATGAAAACAAAATTGGATTTTCATTGCGTATCGGAAGAGTTATGAATTCAGTTATAGTTTTTATAATTCTGTTGAGTACTTCTATGGCCCCGGTGGCTTGCTTGGCCCGTTTTACAAATATCCAATGCCTATCTCTGGACAAGGAATTCACCACTGTGGCCCAATGTTCGCTAAAAATGATCAAACGTAATGTGGTGGCACTGAATATTCATTGTAGGCTACATAAGGTTCCGGTGGATAAGGTGACAGTAAGTTTCGATAAATGTTTAATAGATAATATTTTTTGGGGGAGGAGGAGGTGAGGATTGAAAGAGGGTATCTTTGCCTATTCTGAGGCGGTCCAACTATTAAAAAATTTTCCTTAATAACATTTTTCGTATTTTGGGTGCTGGTGTACCCACAATTCAAAATTATAATATTCATTTTGTTATATATATTTCAGGTAAATGTTGCCCTCTATAAACGCTCGAATGGTTTTCAACCGTTTCTAATCAATGCCACTGGAGATTTGTGTAAATTTTTCGCCAATCGTAAAAAGAATCAAATTTTCATGATTTTAGCTCAATATTTCTTGCGGAACTCCAATGTGAATCACAGCTGTCCATATGATGTACGTGAAATTTAGGTTAAAGGGATAGGGGAGGTCAACTAATCGGTTGTTTTTTTGTTTTTCAGCACGACATTATTGTCCACAATTTAATTTTGGATAATACCCTCTTCTCCTCCCTGCCCCTACAAAATGGCGATTATATGTTCAAGGTATTGGCTGGAATAATGAATGTTTGGAAAGTGGAATTTAAGGTGCATTTTCGTAAAAGTTAATTAAGAAAAAATAAATGATATTATAAAAATTAAATAAATAAATAAATAAATAAAAAAACAAAAAATATTTAAGGGACCAACAATAGGCGTGGATTTTTTAAACTTAATTTTTGACAACCTACAATAGGCAATGGATTAATTTGGTTTTTCCGTTTGTAACTCATCGAAATAATCATTTCCGACTCTATAAAGTACATATACTCTTGATCAGCGTAAAATTCTATGACGATACAGCCATGTCCGTCTGTCTGTCTCTTGTAAACGAATTGAGATAGATCGTCAACATTTTTCATAGAGTCGTCTTCTGTCTGCAGGCAGGTCAAGTTCGATGATGGGCTTTATCGGTCCACGTTTAGACATAGCTTCCATACAAGGGCATCCCCCAATTTTCGGTATTTTGGGATTTTTGTGCGCGTTTTTCAACCGAATGCGCTGAAAGTTGCTACATTGGGTTGTTATTGGGTAGCAAATCTCTATATCTCTATTTATATTTTCGGATAGCCCCTATATAAGGGTACCCCCAATTTTTCGGTATTTTGGGGGGTTTGATCGCATTTTTCGACCGAATTCCCGGAAATTCGGTATTTTGAGTTCTTATTGGGTAGCTAATCTCTATATTAAAAACTATAAATATAGATCAATTTTTTCGGGTAGCCCCCACATAAGGGTACCCCCCAATTTTCGGTATTTTAGGGTTCATGAGCGCGGTTCTAAACCGAATTCGCTGAAATTTGGTACATTGGGTTCTTATTGGGTACCAAATTTCCCCACTAAAAACAATAAATATAGGTCCACTTTTTCTGGTAGCCCCCATATAAGGGTACCTCTCATTTTCCTTGGGGGTTTTGGGGTTTTTTGGGGGTTTTGACCGGATTTTTTCACCGAATTGGCTGTAAATTAGTAATTTGAGTTATTATTGGGCAGCAAATCTCTTCACAAAAAACTATAAATAAAGGTCAATTTTTAAGGCTACCACCAATTTTCGATATTTTGAGGTTCTTGAGCGCGATTTTCAACCGTCCGTCCATGTATTTTTGTGAACAAAGAACAAGTCGCATTTATGATTCGATTTAGATGAAATTTGGCATAGGTCACTTATTTGGCTCAAGGACGAACCCTATTGAAATTGGTAAAAATCGGTTCAGGTTTAGATATAGCATCCATATATATTTTCGTCCGATTTAATGTAAATGGTCCACCAAAGTACCTGCAAATCTTTCGATTTGCACGAAATTTGGTTTAACGTACTGAATTGAGCCTAGAATGATGTCTGCCAAGTTTCGTGAAAATCGGTCTAGATTTAGATATAGCTCCCATATATAAATTCGTCCGATTGCATGCAAATGGTGCACCAAAGGCCCTATATTTATTTCGATTTGCACGAAATTTGGCATGACGTACTGAATTGAGCCTAGAATGATGTCTGCCAAGTTTCGTGCAAATCGGTTCAGATTAAGAAATAGGTCCCCTATATATTTTCGTCCGATTTAATTTAAATGGTCCACCAAAGTCCCTTCAAATCTTTCGATTTGCACGAAATTTGGTTTAACGTACTGAAATGAGCCTAGAATGATGTCTGCCAAGTTTCGTGAAATCGGTCTAGATTTAGATATAGCTCCCATATATAGTTTCGTCCGATTTCAGGTAAATGGTGCACCAAAGCCCCTATATATCCTTCGATTTGCACGAAGTTTGGCATAACGTACTAAATTGCGACTAGAATGATGTCTGCCAAGTTTCGTGAAAATCGGTTCAGTTTTAGATATAGCTCCCATATATATTTTCGACCGATTTAATGTAAATGGTCCACCAAAGTCCCTGCACATCTTTCGATTTGCACGAAATTTGGCACAGCGTAATGAATTAGGTCAAGAATGATGTGTGTCAAGTTTCCTGAAAATCGGTTCAGATTAAGATATAGTTCCTATATACATTATCGTCCGATTTAATGTAAGTGGTGTACCAAAAGCCCTTAATATCTTTTGATTTGCACGAAATTTGGCACAGCGTAATGAATTAGGTATAGAATGGTGTGTGTTAAGTTTCCTGAAAATCGGTTCAGATTTAGATATAGCTCCTATATATAGTTTCGTCCGATTTCATGTAAATGGTGCACCAAAGTCCCTATATATCTTTCGATTTGCACGAAATTTGGCATGACGTACTGAATTGAGCCTAGAATGATGTCTGCCAAGTTTCGTGAAAATCGGTTCAGATTTAGATATAGCTCCCATATATAGTTTCGTCTGATTTTATGTAAATGGTGCACCAAAGCCCCTAAATATCTTTCGATTTGCAGGAAATTTGGCATAGCGAAATGAATTAGGTCTAGAATGATGTGTGTTATGTTTCCTGAAAATCGGTTCAGATTTAGATATAGCTCCCATATATATTTTCGTCCGATTTCATGTAAATAGTGCACCAAAGTCCCTATATATCATTCGATTTGCACGAAATTTGGCACAGCGTAATGAATTAGGTATAGAATGATGTGTGTTAAGTTTCCAGAAAATCGGTTCAGATTTGGATATAGCTCACATATATATTTGCGTCCGATTAAAGGTAAATGGTGTACCAAATTCCTTAATATCTTTTGATTTGCACGAAATTTGGCACAACATATTGAGTTAAGTATAGAATGATGTGTGTTTAGTTTCCCGAAAATAGGTTCAGATTTAGATATAGCTCCCATATATAGTTTCGTCTGATTTTATGTAAATGGTGCACCAAAGCCCCTAAATATCTTTCGATTTGAAGGAAATTTGGCATAGCGAAATGGATTAGGTCTAGAATGATTTGTGTTATGTTTCCTGTTAATCTGTTCAGATTTAGATGTAGCTTCTATATCTAACTAAATGAAAATTTTTGTATAGGTTGCAGAATGACATGTTTATGGATCCAATTTCATTTTACTGGTCCTTTAAAACTGCGACGTATGTTAGGATTAACCTGTTGAATATACCCAAAGTGGTGAAGAATATTATATAGTCGGCCCCGTCCGACTTTACTACTTTCCTTACTGGTTTAAAAATTATTTTTGGGGTTCAAGAATAGGCGTGGATTTTTGTAAAAATTGTTTTTGGTGTCCTACAATTTTTTTTAACGACAATTATTTTCATTGTTATTGAAATTAGTTTCTTCTTTAAAAAAAATCCACATCATCCAGTTATATAATTTGTTGCCCATTTAATTTGTCCCGACCATTGCATCCTTATGGTGCTATGAGCCCAATATATTTCACTATTGCTGATGATGATGATGATATGGGCATGATGCAATGTTTTACTCAGCCACTGATGGCCAATAACCAACCGACCGACCAGCTAAAGCGAAAAAACTGTCGTCGATTTCAGTTGTCACCGCAGATGCTGACCGACAACATCAGCTTTTGAAAGAAAATTCATAATGTTTTGTGGTTAGCCTATCACCACAGCCTATCGTAGGCCATAGGCCTAGTTTTTGGCATCAAGGGATTGGTTATATGATGACTGACTATCGTCCTTTTTTTTCTCATGCATGTACATACATAACAAATTTTTTGAAATGTTCTGTGGTCATCAGCTGGGGGAAAGGTTGATGGAATGCTGGGTGGTGGGGTGAATTAATGCAATTCCAATGTATGACCGGTTAAGGCTTTCGGAGTTTTACTTAAATAATTAATTGATGGTGAAAATGTGAATTTAAAAAGGTTTGTGTATTGAAAATGAAGATTATTATTATTTATAAAATCCACGCCTCTTGTGGCCCTTGAAAAAATTACTTAAAAAATTCACCCCTCTTGCGGTCCTTGAAAAAAATTATTTTAAAAATCCACGCTTTTTGTGGTCCTTAAAAAAAACTATTTTAGAAGTCTATTTTTAGTCTAAAAAATTATTTAAAAAATCCAGGGGATTTCTCAAAAATGTCATAACCATAATTATCTCGGCCAGATATTATTTCACTTAACTTGATGTTATCAAATTTTGGCAAACATAAACATTATATTTTTTTGATTATTAATACAAATGGTCACATAAAATGTAATACAATTTCAAATAAAATTTCGTTCTCCCTTCCTCCTTTATATATGGGAGGGTAAATTTTAGGCTCTATTTACATTGTGAGGCTGTCTTTCTTTTGGGGTGACATTCTGATAAGCCATCCACATTCAACATCACGACAACAATCAGCAGTGGTTATGATTATCAGCAAATGACCTTTTGTTGGCATCTTCACTCTCTCTAAAAGAGAGTGAGAGGGAGGAGGAAGCATACATCCACTGCCGAAAAATCAGGGTATTCATTGAAAATTATTTGATTGCCTGCATATCACACACAATTTCTCTTAGTGCATAAAATTTCACTTGCACACACACACACATATATCTCTCAAAAATCTTGGCTAGATTTCGAAATTGTCCTATTACATCCTTGTATTATTATTATGGTCATCATTCGGAATTCCAAGTGTTACATCTATCCATCCATCCATTCATAGAATAGATCGCATAAAAATTTATTAATATTTTTGCAAAATTGGCTCTAAGCCAATAGAAATAGACAAACTACATAATTGTTGGTTGTCGTTGTTGTGTTTGGGTGTTCCGACACGATACAAACATGTTTAGTTGTTGTTAAATGTGGTCCTTCTTGGGCAAAAATCTGTGGATCCGGAAGAAGAAGATGTATTTCTGATATTACTTCACCTCACCTCGAACAAAATATTTATCATCATCACCATCACTAGCAGATATAGGAGGACAAACACACATAGACACACACATATATATATATATATATATATATAACTTCAATGGAGATTAGATGATAACCACAAATCTAAAGCCAAATTGCCCACAATTTTAGAGAGAAAATGAAACCGAGTATCAAAACCCGGATTTTTAAAAATTATTTTTTGAGACCCACAAGGGGTGTGGATTTCTCGTGAGCGTGAGCAAATCGAGATGTACAGGAGTCAGAATGAAGTCCGAAAATTCGACCAACGGGTAAAACAAGAAAACG